TCGGCGCTACTCGGCGCTACCCGGCGCTACTCGGCGCTACCCGCCGATCACATTACGCAGTCGCGCTTTCCCGTCACAGTGAGTGCATTATTTAGGGTCTGCAGCAAAAGAGGTCATAAAGTCTCAACATTGCGTCAGCTGATAGATCAGGGCAACGTGCTCAACAAATGTCGAGACTTTGGGGTCTGCACCTCACGACAGCATAAAGCACACGATCCTGTGAATTGCTTTGCAATTTTGTTCAAGGCCTCCTGCACCCGCTGATGTCAAGATAGGGTTGAGGCACCACTTGCGCAAGAATCAAACCAAAGCCTTTCGAGCCTTGGGCATGGAGAGTTTGCTTCTGTGGCATCAGGAATGCACTGTGATCAGCATTTGTCAGTTTTTGTTTGAGCCTCTGCATGCGGCGCGAATGCAAGCTGCGGCCAGGAAGCTGTTGACCGCTGTTCCCAGGACTTTGCAGCCACGGTCCCTGTTTGACCCGACATCGCGTATTGTCTTCGGGAATTGAGGTCGAGGCCGGAAACCTTTTGGGGTTCCGCCATGGGCTCCGAGGCCTTGGACTACAAAGGCATGAGCTTCTTGTCGCTGCAAGATCTTGAGGACCGCCTGCAGCTCTGATCTGCCAGTGCCCGACCTCTCCCGGCTCGGCGCCAGTCGAAGGAGCTTCTGGAGATGCCAGACCTCGAGTCGGTCCATGACGAGCTTCGGCAGGTGCCGCCGTCGATTGAACTTACGGGATCAGCTGAAGGGGATGGAGCAGCTCTGCCATGCAGCCATCGAGCTCGAGCCCTCCACATGGGATGATGAGATTTGTTGACGAGTGTCCACCGAGCAAACCTGCATACACTCTCCTCTTCACGAGCCTGCTTTGGTTTGTTTAGACTTCTGGTTTATCGGTTCCCTGCAGCTTGCCATGGCAACGCAGTTGCAGGCTTAGTTCTGTCAATACGAAGGGCGGAAAAGCGGACACGAAGCCACCAGACAGTTGTCCGAATCTGCAGCATCATCCAACCTGGCAACCATGTCGTAAATGCGACGATGTGTAAACAGAGCTGCAAAGCTTCAGGACATGTTCGTTTCAGGCCGCAGCTGGCAGCAACATGAAATTGACAGCTCCGACTGCTTGTTATCGAAGTGTTTCAGGCTAATTACAGTGTCTCACACATTGCAGCCTGTGGTTTCCGCTCTGTCTGATCGTCTTGGCTGGTTTGAGTTTGAAGCATGCCTCTCATTGCTATCATGCAATGCTCTACGTCACTCTAGTCATCCTGGAATGTTGGGAAACCCGGCCGAGGCCGAGACCGGATCTCCCGTTCGCTGCACCTCCGGCCTCGGAGAGCTCCTCGGCTTTTCAGCACTCTGCATTTCGACGTAAGAGAGACCAACTTCGTGCTTTGCTTTCATTCCAGGGCCTTAAAAGCCTGTGCTTGAACAGGGCATCTTAGTCAGCAAAATCCCATGCGTCGTGCCATCATAATGTTTGTTGAAGTTTGGGGATTGCTACTTCTCGTAGAAGTCCACTCCGGCAGGGGCCTATGCTGTTTGAAGATGTCTTAAGTGGACCACGGCCGTGTCTGAGTCAGGCTTGCCGGCTGGACTTAGGGCTGACTCTGCCGAACTATGCCGAGGCCATGTGCCGCCGCGGCATGTTGGTGTGGGAACGCGACAGATGTTCGCCCCAGAGGCGTCGAGACCGCCGGATGATTTCACAGTTTTGCATCAGTTGGAAGTTGAAACTATCACCACCCAAAGCCAGGGCAAGCGCTCACAGCTCACCAGGCCCAAACTGCAGAGGAGCTGATCCAAGGCGATGTGCCTGCTGGACTGGCTTTTTTCAATGCCTTTTGTGGCCAGCAGATAACACATTTCAGAATCAAGTGATGTGCTGCACAAAACGGGGGGTGGAAGCTTGTAAGCTTCTTCCGACACAGTAGCATTCCTTGGCTTGGATGCCGCGAGGTGTGGCAAGCCGCAACGTGGGAAGATGGATGATTGCAATTGTGCTCGTCGGGCTCATCGGCTTGGTTTGCCCGGCCCAGGCCTCAGCAACTTCAGTGTCGTCTTTGGGGATGCTGTTGCCTTTGCTGCCAGCTCTGGCAGCTATCATCAATGGGTCTCTGAAGTTCGCAGGCCGCAGGCGCAGGTTCGCAGGCCCGGAGACTTTCGGAAGCAGATGAAGGCCTTCCTAGAGTATCATCGGGGCTTGTGGCCCTCACAATATTCCAAATTGAGGGCCTCTCTATGCCCTACACCCAGCGGGTGGATTTCTGCATGTGGATCCCAGGCGTCTACGTAGTTTGGATGTCCGCACAGAAATTTGCAGAGACGTGTGCCTGTGTGATATTCAGGATGACTCAAACCATCTCGAACTTCAAGCTTTCTCTTCTGATGCAGGGTCTCAAGTGCAACTCTCCTCCCAGCGGTGGGTGGAGCAGCACGGCCTTCCCAAGCTTCGACTGGGTGCAATACCAGTGCAATTCTGTATGTCTCAACTGTTGACAGAATGCTGTGAGGGTCAGTGTGCTGGGGCTTCAAAAGCCCCCAGGCAGGGTCTTGCCAGCAGAGGACCCGGGCCGAAAGACCGACCCGGCGACACTATGCAGTTCTTACGGTTTTGTGTGGTGGTTCAGCTCAATTTCTCACGCTTGGGTGCCGAAGCTTTGTTGGAACTGACACAGACACTGGCAACATTCGACCACTTCAGCATATCCTCCCTCGGATCCGCAGAGAGATAAAAGCTTTCCCCGGCCCAGTTCCTGGCCATGCAGAAGAGAATGCTTCCGAAGCACATTGCGAAGGCACAGCGCTGCTCAGGGATTTACAGCGGACAGCCCGTTTCGAGACGCGAGTGCAGCTACAGCACATGCCAATAAACCTCCGTGGATAAAAAGCACTATATGACTATATGGAGTTCAGTTACAGTCACGAAGATCAGTCCCGGCGCACAGCAGGTCTTGGGACGACTGTACTTCTGGCCTACTATTGGCCTTACTCTCTTGCGGAGCTGGCGGGATGGCCGCGGTCTCTGGTGCCAGGCCGTATGAGAGTCTGAATCTTCGCAAATTGATTGACTTCCAGGTGTCCTCATGTTGGCCCAGAATCCTCCTAGCACGCGCCGCGAGAGATTGCATAGGTGTGATTGAAGAGTGTGCTGCCCCTTGCGGATACAAGCGAGGGACGACGATTCAATCCCAGCTGGCAGTGTTTAAGTTAATGCTTATGAAGGCATGGGCCCGCAGTAGGCGCCAGTTCAGAATGCTTATCTCGCGAGCAGACCAGTACAGTCCCTGCCAGGTTGATGACACCGTGCTGCTAGGCCAGTCTTGATATCCTGCAAAAATCAGCGGGGGCATTGGAGCTTTTGACGGAGAGTGCCGGGGAGAGGTTAATTGCAAAGCACATGAATTCCGTCCCGCTGCTTGTCGGCACCAGTTCTCTTAGTTTCGGATCCCCAGGCGCAGATCAGTCAAGACACAACAGTCGTCTAAAAAGCGCCTCCAGGGCTACCGGCCGCTTCATGCCTGAGCCGCCCAGCTATGCTAGCCGGTACTGCGACCCTGGTCGGTGATTCGGAATCCCTGCCACACCAAGACTTTCCAGAATTTGCCTCCAAGCCGACAGACACCCAACTTTAACCCCCACAGGTAAGAGGTAGGCAGAAAGCTGTAGGCTTCTCTGATGGGCCTCGGTGCTTGCGATGGCCGGCTTTAGTAGCGCGTTTCCAGCGTGGGCGCCGATCGTCATGGGTTGGACGCTTCTGGGAAAATTTCGTGCTACCCCTTAGCTCGTGAAGGCCATGTTGCTGCTTGGGGCCTTGGGCACCATGTTTGGCCTGCTGCTGTCCCGAAGTCGGGAAGTCGCTGACCTCGCCAGCAGCATATTCGGCTCCTTCGTCGCCGTCACCGGAGATGCCCATCAAGCTAAAGTTGCACAGGACATATTCCGCCAGCAGGTTCGATATGAGAGGTCCATACAGATTCGCGAGGACATGCGCGATGTGAACAAACTGATGATGGAGAGTGTCCAAACCCACGTCATCATGGGCAGTATCATACTTGGCGTTTGTTGGAACATGTGCATTGAAGGCTTCCCACCGGAAGAAACAGAGCGTGCCGTGGTGGGTCTTTGGATGGTGTTCACCTGCTGGTCTGTCACTTATACCCTGATTGCTCTTTGGCTGGCGCTGCGGTTTCAGATGAAGATGTCCTCCAGTGCCCGTGACCGTTTGCTCCGACGTCACCGCCTCATGGTGCCTGATGATCTAGTTGTTGGTCGGATGGGCGGGCACAACGTAGTCAATCAGGTGGCAAACTTTCACAGCTGGATGCTCACTGCCATCAACAACATCACGTCAGATGCCGCTGTTGAGGATGATAGTGCCATCCGTGTTCGGGGTCGACGCCATCTCGGCTTGCGTGTGCAAGTGGAGCCAAGAGAAGGATTTGTGGATGTGGAACCGCTTCGCAAGGGCATGCATGCGTGGCTACACCCGGAAGGGGACGGCTGGTCGCACCACACTCTGCTGGACATTCCCTTCTTTCTGACGGGGGAGACCCTTATCCGGAGCCCTTGGCAGTTCAATGGCGAGCGGCCGTTGGCTTTTAGGGTGTACGGGGAGGCCACTCTGTATGTGGCTGCTCAGTGCCCGCCACTGCGCACGCAGAACAAGCAGAGGAATGAGCCCCCAAGCTCTTCAACCAACAACCATGGATTGAAGAAGGCCTTGTGGTTAGCAGGTCAAGTGCCTGACTGGCCTGCAGACGAGCTTCCGCTGGCCACGCAGGGTTTTCACGAGGACTGGGCTGGGGAGAGCGGCTGTGGTGAGTTCCGGCGAGTGGAAGGCTTTTCGATGTATGTGGACCGCAACGATATCGAGATGCCTGTGTACAAGCAACCCCCAAGCACTAGTCTTTCCGTAGCTTTGCGATCAGTTAGACGCCCTGGAAAGGGGGTTGAAAGCAGAAACCCTCAGCCCGGCCCTGGCCAAGGCTGGTTCTGGCGAACCCTAGGCATGGAAACTATGTCGACGTGGTGGTGAACTGGAACTTCAAAGCTGGCTGCGAGGCTCTGGTCGTGGTGGTGAGGACTCCGGGACGAACTCAGAGGGATCAGTACCGAGTGGGCAAACCGGAAAGTCCTGTACTGTAGTGATTAGTATCTTGCATCAATGCTTTTTGCAGTCTCTGCGGGATGTTGCCCGCCGTGGGTAAATTCTGTGTGTGTTCCAGAATCTGTTGTGACATCCCGCAATGTGCTCACATGCATCATGGCGAGAACCGTCAGACACGGAAACCTCCCCTGATCCTAGCCGAGGAAAGGCCAAGTCCACTGTCACTCTGACGGAAAGAGTGGTCGTCACAGATGGACACTTTCGGGTTTGGGTGAGGGTAAACGGTTGACGATTACTTGAGGCCCTGACACCGGTCACAATCGTTTTGCGAACTAGCTAGCGTCTTCCCGGAATATTCAGCAGTCAGAGGGCGTCATCAGGGGAAAAGTTTTTCTTGATCCTCGCGGCAGAACGGAAGCGGATAGATCGTTTCGCATCTGTGCATTGACGATATTGCACCTCGCTTCGTTGCAAGGTTTTGGACTAGATGCCGAATGCCCTGCGTAAGGATGTCAGCCCGACTGTATCGTTGTAGCCTGGTGCACCCCGCAGGCGGAGACAAGAAGTCACATGTCTCATCACGTCTCAGCTTCTCGATGTTTCGGCGAGCCCCCCAAGGTAAGGAGGAGGACTGGCCCCTCGCGGAGTTCAATGCGGAAGTCAAGGAGGCTACTCCGGTCTGCACGCGAGATGTTGGATGACTGCGAGAACTTGAAGCAGTCTTGCTGCCGACACAACGTCCAAGCACGTCAGAAAGCCGAACATGAAGATTACCTCTGCGTTCTTAGTCTCCGTAGTAACAAAGCATGCTACACCAACAGGAAGGGTTTGGGCACAACAATACACAGACGGCAGATTTCAGAACATGAAGCAGTCTTAGGCGTCTTGTGCGTAGTGTCAGATGCGGCCAGCTTAGGTCTTGAACCTGCGGCACTACTCGGGGCTTTACCTGCGCCATGGGACCAGCTGTTTGGTTCTGGCCTGCTGCATCCAGACTGCGAGAGTCCCGCTCCCCTTGTCCATCCCCGCTCAGTTTTTACGGGTAAGACCTATTATAGCCTATAATATATTTCCCCACGAAGGCAATCAAAGATCTGGCTTTGCTCAGCGAAGCATGAAACAAAAACAAGTTTTGCTGACGGTCGCGAGATGCCGGGTGTCACCTAAGCGACCTATCCTGGGCTGTGTTTTTATGACTTCACTCGTTTTGCATGGCTCCCTTTGCATGGCTCCCTTTGCACTTGAGCCCTCCATGTCTGCTGGCACTTTGCTTCTGTGGAGGAGCAATCGGGATTCGCAATCGGGGGTGCGCTCAATCCACCGAAAATCGCCAGACAACCCGGCCCAGTGAATGTGCAAAAGCTTCAACAGGCAACACTAGCGATTGCTATCAGCGCCCGTCAAGGGCCGCCTCAAGTAATGCCACGCTGGTGGCTTCCGAAGATTGGCAAATGACAGGAGCTCTGCTACAAGCAGTCAACACTTCACAGCTGCGACGAATCCAGACGATGCCGTTCAGGGTTGTCCTCCAGATTTCCGTGGGGAGCCACGCCGCAGTACAAGCTAAGGTGTGCTCTACCTGGCCCGCATGAGCGTCCTGCTCCGAAATGCTAGCTGCTTGCTGGCAGATTGGGCGTCATTTGGAGAGACATGATTTCTGAGGGTTGAGAAGCCTTTTGGACCTGTCAACTGTTGGGAGGTAGCCTGGATTGGAGGCTTCGTACATGAGTTTCTGTCAGGCTTTGTCTTTGTCTGTTCAGTCTCCCGTAGCATTTCCGCAAGGATGAACCGAAAGTGGGATGGGCTATGGTGCTTGCTGGCCGGTCACAATCATGCACGCACGACTGATGTTTTTCGGGATTGAAGTGTGCAGGTTGGACAGGCCCCATGTCTTCCCCTTCCATGACAGGATTCTGGTGGTACGAGTCCACGCTGGTGGCGATTGCAATGCTACCATCGATCGTTGCCATACGATGCTCGCAGATACATTGGCACCTAGTAGTGGCACGAGGGCGGTCACCTGGACATACCTGGACCGTTGCTTTCAGCAGATTCGAATTGACTTCTTCTTCAAGGTAAATCTGCCTCTCCTTCTACTTCCCCGCCACATGCCCTCAATCCCCATGCTGTCATAGGGCGGCCTCTTTACTTTCGCAAAAAGGCGTAGCCTTTCAGACCATACCTTGCCGGATCGGCCTTGAGGGGTCAGGCCGGGACAGGTTGGTCTCAACGGCATTCTTGGAAAGTTTCGTTGTTACTGAATAGGCTGGGTTGTCGATGAGTTACGGGTTCGCGATTGTGACACACCTGTGTTTTCTGTCTGTGGCACTATGCGCCGAGGGTGCGCTCGCTCATGGTTCCAGGTTTCCACTTCCGGCTCCGCTTGCGCGTCACGGTTGACGAATTCATTCACGATTGGTTACATAGATTCGATATTAATAGCCTAGCCCGATTGCATTTGCAGTCGCGTGATTTGCAAGACGGATCGTGCATCATGCCTTGCAGCCTCCTGTACTCCGACTCGACTCTTTGAGTAAATTTCTCGGCAAGGTGGAAGCTGTTGAGAAGCCATGCATAGCTTTTTGCAGTGAGCCTACAGCATGTGACGGCACACCCACAACCCAACTTCAGCCCTCATGCCAGCTTTGTTTGAATGTGGCCCCCACGACTCCAAGCCAAGATGTGTGGCTCAGTGTGGCCAAGCTGCTGGCAATTTGCCACCAGCTAGATCTGCTCGGACAGCCTTTGAGCAGAACTCTGCTCACGTAGCAGCGCCTAGGAATCATGCCTCTCGACGTCTGGGAGAAGGAGACGGTGCTCAGCGAGGTAGGGCGCAACCAGCCGCAGCAGAAGGCTCTGGACGAAGTGAATGCTCCTCGTGCCGTGTTTAAAAATGATAGTTTCCGGCGGCAATACGCCGAGAGTTCCACTGCCAAGTGCAAAGTAGTGGAGGGAAGAGGCTTGCAGAGGCCTTGCCGTACGGTTTTCCATCGATTCAGGTTGTATCGCCGCAAGCGACGCCCGTGAATGCGAAGCACGTGAACAGTGAGCCGCATTTGCTGTTGTCTCGGCCGGTGCTGAACGAGGCTCGATCCACAATCAGACGAAGCATTTGAGCCCAGCTATAGTCCTAGTCCTTGAGCGCCAGGACGGTGGAGACCTGCCATCTGTGTTCGCGGTATCTCCACAGAGTGCCAGTCCTACGCTGCAGGGGCCCGCCAGGATGCTTCTGCAGCGGGAAGCCGAACAGGTCGCACAGCGTGAGGTCGCGCAGCGCGGCGCCGCCACGAGATCGCAGTCGGCCCCTGCTCGAACTAGAGAAGTGCCGTCTTTCGGCCTGCGTGGCTGCTGCACTGAAATACAGGGCCGGTTGGAGAACTGCCAGATTGTGGCTCACGATAGTGAGCGGCACACTATCCGGAATCTCCGGCAACAGGCGCTGCCTCCGCCACAGCCATGCTCCGATGCTGGTTTGCCTCCAGATCCTACTCCACACAATTCTCCATCGAGTCCACCTCTCCAGATTGAGACTGAGAACCTCGACAGTGCCAAGACTGACCCTTTCCACCTCAACTTGAATTTCGAGCCAAAGGCCTGGCAGTACTCTAATGTGGCCAATTAATGAGCCCAAAATCTTCTCGTGGACAGGCGAAGTCACCATCTTCCCCCAAGCGACGGCGTTGCTGCAGGTGCCGATGGCAAGTGCCGAAAACTGGTGTCCCAGCTGATACTCAAAACTCAGTGTTCAACGTCTGAGCTCATGCTTATTTGTAGAGGCAGCTGGACTGAGGTCAAAATCTCTTCATGGGAACGCTGCTGTTGGAAGCTCTCCTGGCGCTTTCATGCGTCGCCGGGCCGAAGAACATAACCTTTTACCTTTTTCATCACATTGTAAGAAGTTCCTGAACTCTTCCTCGTACTCGTCTAGACCATGGTTCTTTCGGCAGCCGAGCCGCCCGCTGGTCATGTACATACATTCATTCATTCATTCATTCATTCAGACAAACATACATAAATACATACATACATACATACGTGTATGTATGTATGTATGTATGTCTGTACGTACGGACGTATGTATGTATGTATGTATGTATGTATGTATATATATAGAGTGCGAGTGCCATATATATATATACATACATATTTGCACACATACACACATATGTTTATGTATACAGCATGACAAAGCACAACAAAGAATATACCACACGTACACGCAAGTACATACCATAGGAATATGCAAAATGCATATGCTATGTGCGCACGCAGACAAACACAAAAACACATACACACACACACATATGTATATATATATATACATACATACATACATATAGATGAATGAATGCATGAATGAATGCATGAATGACATGTATGTATGTATGTATGTATGTATGTATATATTGATATACATTTGCAGACTTTGAAAACAAGCCAGTACACAAGCACATAAAGGAACATATGCATTTACATATGTATGCACATGTGACCATGCAGACGTACATACATAAATACATACATCGCCACCTGCAACATGACGCGACCCTGTACAGCACAGCATAACATAATGTAATACAGCAAAACAAGGGATAGACCACATACAAGTACCTACAAAACATAGCAAACAATAGGCCACATGTTTGTACGTACACAACAGTACACACGTGCACATACACACACAGATATATATATATATATTGACTATGTATGTGTGTATATTTATATATAGATAGCTATAGATTTAGATATATGTAGATGTATGCGTGTATATATATATATTATATTCATACATATGCGTGTACCTACCTATGTATGCACGTACATCACGTACAAACATAGGACAACACTTGATGCTTGCATGTATACAGACTTACACACGTAAATACATCCATGCATTCGTACGTACATACATGCACATACATACATACATACATACATACATACACACACACGCATGTACATAAACACATACATACGTGCCTAAGCACATGCATACATACATACATACATACGTACATAAGTACACACATACGTACATAAAGACATACACACGTACATAAGTACATGCAAACGTACACCTTTCTCATGCACACGCACATAAAGACAGACGTTGCACGTAAATACATACATATGCACATGCATGCTTACATACGTGCACACATACGCATGTAAGTACAGACATATACCAAATACTCGCTGGTCATGATTTGATTGGTCTGTCCGTAGGAAGGGCTCTTCTAACTTGTTTCGGAAGTGAAAGTCTTGCATCACAACACATTTTGTGGCTAGCAGATAATTTCGTTCGGTGCGGCTCGACGCCGGTCGTAGTGACGTATCCTCCTTGCTGTGCACGGTGCACTGCCGATGAGTATCAGCGGCACAACTAGCTGCTACGTCGGACGGCTAATGACACACGCGTACTGCGCTGCACTAAGATATCAACCGTGATCACGCTGCCATGGGATTCTTGGTCGCAGACATCCAGCCTGGAATGGATTCCAGTGCCTATTTCCTGGCCAGCGCTTTTCCGACCAACTGCTTTGAAACTTGGCTCACCATTGGAGACTAGTTGTGAGGGGTGGGGTTGACAAACTATGCTATGTGTCGGACGGAACGAGGCTGCATGCAAACGTGCTGCGCATGGCAGCCGGTCCTGTTCTACGCTCCTTCAGCGCTGGCAGCGTAAGCTGGGGGCCTGTGGGCACACCAGTCTTGCTGCCTCATCATGCTCGAGGGCTAGGAGTCTGGGCAGACGTTTCCGTAATCCTGGGGCAGAGCGGGCTGTATCTGGTCGAAGAGACGGCCGTGGCTCCGCAAGTGCAAACTGCGCAAACTGGACTGGATCCGCTTGAGCTGCTGGACTTACCCAGCAGCGTGAATGGCAGCTACCTCGCTTACCCACCCCGGGTGCAAAGTGCTACTGCTGGCGCCGTGGCCAGCGTTGGGGGGAGTTCTACAGTTGCGGCCGTTCTCCTGGCGACCTCCGATGAACTCCACCTCTGCAGAATGACGAATAGCACAGGAAGCTTTTCTTTGGCTTTCGTCTCCAACTTGAAGCCGGTGGGTGAAGCCTTGAGTCAAATCACGGGCCTGTACATGTGCCCAGAGGGGCAGTGTGCCTCGCAGCCTGTGCTTTGGACATCCATGTCTCAGGGCCGGCTTGCCGCTATTGGCTTTGCATCCGGGAAGGCCCCACTTGACTCCTGCAAATAGAAGTCCCCTACCATCCTGTTTTTGTTGGGTTCCGAATCTCCTTATTATGAGCCTGGTACCTCAAGTGTTTTTGGATTCTTGCTGATAATCCTCTTCACAGGTGCTGGCAGTGTTTCCAGCTTCTTCAAGCTTTGCTGCATCGACTTCGACGCTTGTGACTGGCAACAGCAGCTCTGCTACAATTAATGTTGTTTCATGGCTTCGATGAGTGACGGCGGGAGGAGTCAACCGTCAGTAGCCGAGGCACGCATCTGATTCTTGTGGCCGTCAGTGAGGGCACCTTACCTACAGCATTCTCGGTTCCGTACCCACCCCTACCGGAGGTTTAGCTCGTGCGAACGCACTTGATATTGCAAGATATCGGCGGGAGCTTTCGATTCGAACTATTGCCAAAATACTCGGCGAGAAAACCAGCAATGTGAAGGCGAAAGCTCGCGACGTAATTGGAAGGCAGTGACAACCCCCATTCCTTCTGAAACTTCGGTCGGCGCTGCAGCAGCAGGCTCTGTCTTGTATCACCGGCGGCTTGCCAAAAGGTAAACTCACCGTGAACGTTTCACAGCCTAGGGACCCAGATTAGTGTGGCAGGTGGAGTGTCTACACATGTTGACCAGCATACCAATGAACGAGAGTCACTGGGTTACCCGGCCCACAATACGTGTCATCGTTTTTCCAAGTTCACATTGCAATTCGTGCCGACGTTGAAAGGGCCCTCTGCGCCCTTTGGTAGGTAGCTCAGAAGCGCCGGGACTCCCGAAGCGCCTGCAGGAACCAACGGAAGTATTGTCAAAGCTTAGAGATCTAGCTTGATTCCACAATGCTCGCAAGCGGAAAGCTGCATTGGTTTGCCTTCCGACGAACAGCAGGGTACCTGCAAGGGCTGCAGAGATGATTGCGAGAGCAGGCGACACCGACCATACCAAGAAAAGCATTTTTCGAAGCACTTGCGAACACGGCAGGATTAGGGGAAACAGGGAGGGGTCAGGTGCATCCCTCCATGGATGCTCACACTTCTTTCGTGTTCTCAATTGGTCTGCAACCAGAACTTGCAGAAGCAGTGTGAATTGCCGGGATGCACAGGTGTGGCTCCCTTGGCGATCCTGCAGCACCCAGAGCAGCTGCAGGACTGACTTCAGTGGTAGAACCATGTAGAACCTCACTCTGCGGAAAAGTCTTTCTTATACCCAAGGCGCTGGGAGTTCGCGGCGTTGTGAACCTCTGCGACGAGTACTGTGGACCGCAGGCATGCGAAACAGTCGACTGTGTACGTGTTTCCTTTTCTCCCTGGGATTGCAGATTCATTCGGCAGGGGCCTGTCTCGAGGCGTCCTACGACCGCATGGAGATCACGCAACTTCGCTTGCCGACAGTGGACCACTACGAGCCTTCGTTGGAGGACCTCCTGAAGGCCCAGTTCCAGGGACCGGGCAAGGATCAAACCTTAGACCCGGGCTTGAGTGGTTAGTTCGCTGCATCAGGCCGTCGAATTCATTGATAAGTTCAAACAGCTTGGACACAAAGTTTATGTCCACTGCAAAGCCGGGGCCCAAGGTTGAGGATGCAAGCGACCTCAAGCAAAGCACTCAACCACACAATTTCGGTGGTATGCATGACGGAGCTGAACGGCGGTTGGAAGCAAAGTAGCGGAGACTTTTCAAGGGGTTGTGGCGTACCGCATAGGCAACAAGGGTTCCGATCAGGCTGCCAAGCATCTGGTTGTTTTACTGCTTGCCACGAGTTACAGTAGTATAGTTGATTCACGAGATCTCACTCACCAGTCCTGAGTCGTGCACGCTTCAGCTGCACACGCAACAGTGTGTGTTCGGACCACGTTTTTCAGTGTCTGCCCTATGAATCTCCGCAGGCCGGACACGGCCGCGCGGCTGCCCAGCACTTACTTGTAGACGGGTCGGGGTCGGCCCTTTCTGAAGGTAGTTATCGAGTTCCAAGTATCTTTGACTGTGGCGTGCTTGCCTTCAAGCGTTGCGTCGCTGGACCCTCAAGAGAAGCAGCGGTCACGCATCGTCAGTTTTCGGAGATGAAATCCAGAAGGTGCCGTTACGTTTCAATTCGGTTCTAGAGTGGACCCCGTGCTTCGTTGAGAGGCAGTCGCGTTGTCCTGGATGATCTTCACCAACAAAGCATATGGTGAGGCCTGGGCGGGTCATCATGAGTTTAAGTCCGGGTGCCAGTTGGTGATGCAATGTATGTATGCTCTTCATCTTGTGAGTGGAGTGCAGCCCGAAACTCATACCAGGCGTTTGTGCATCACCACAGTCACAGCTGACATGTGTGCTTGTAATTCTTGTGGCTACTTGTAGACGGCTGCAAAGAAGCCGAAAAGAGCCGGCCCTGCAGCACTGACAAAGACCCCGGCCCTGGAAAGAGAGAAGCCTTCGCCAGGAAGCTGTGCGGCAGCTCAATGCCAACTTGGCCCAAAAGCGCCGCGTGCGGGGAAGCTTGTACAGGCGAAGCTACCCGCCTGTCCGCAAGTCCGATCACTCGAGGTTATAAGTCACGCAGTCCATCGCAGTCCGGTCAGGCAAGCCAACATACGGGCTTTCATGGCAAAGCTTGGGTCCACAGGCTGGTGTCTCAATGGGTCGGCGCAAGTCATTGCTACTTTGACGGCCCTTGCGTCTCGAAAGTACATCCTGTTTTGGCTTGGTCGGCCTTGTCGGAGGTCCAGAGCTGGTCGCCTCCGAGGATGGGAGCAGAGCTCGGCAGTTTTCCGTCCCGATGGCTACTGGCCATTTTCTAGAAAGGAGTTTTGGGCCAAGTTTTGACCAAGCTCCAGCCGACAGGATACATCGGACGGCCTCGACCGTGAGCTTCGACGACGCCAACCTGCTGCAAATGAGGAGACTTAGACGCCAAAAGATGCCAAAAGGAACGATGCCAGCTGGGAGACTTGCCAGTCCATGCTTGTCACTTCTGCAGCTTGCTTGTCAGGCACAACTTGAGAAGGGGGTTTGGAAGCTGCAAGCCTGCCGACATTGCTGTCCCCTGCCAGGTCGTTGGGATCCTGTACTCCAGGCCTGCGGATGACAACAGCATCAGTCCGGCCCCCAGCCGGTGGTGATGTGCCACAATTGTCCTGCTTTGCATGGAGACATACAGATGCTTCCAGTAGTTGCGAAGTGAAGACATGCGGAGAGAATGCCGGTGCTGCTCAGCGGTGAAAGCCTGCGCACTGTGCCGTTTTTGATGGACAAGGGCCGCTACGAAACAACTATCTCGGACATGTTGTCAAGGCTTCAACGACTTTATGGGGGCCACACTGCAGCAAGACCAGTGCCAGGCAAAGCCGCTACAGACTCCTCTGGGTCAAAAACGTGCTCTAGAATTCCTTGCCAGCTTGTATTCTGCATGGGGACAAGAGGGTAGCCCGCATGTTTCCCTTTCTGGTTTGCATTCAATCGTGGAGGTCGGCATGCTGAGAGCAGCATTTCGGATCTTCGATCAAGATGCAGACGGGCCAGCCTTCTTGTGAATGGGCACCAGTGGGATTTGGAAGCTGCAGCTTCGGAATAAAGGGTCTGCGCTTGTGTTGGTCTTCGCATTTATGGCGACCTGTCTGCCGCCGGATTGCCTTGAGTCTCTGCAGACGTCGCGAGTGGTAAAACCTCGCCAGGTGCATAAGTGCCCAAGACATCAAGCAGGTGTTTTGCTACAGCCTCAGTGTTCCACTGGGTAGGCATGAGCTGTTCAGGTCCTTCGATGAGTGATCGCAGATACTCTTCCCGCAAGCGAGCTCGATGCCACGCGACTGTGTGTGTGTGTGTAGTTTGTGGTTGCCTCTGAGTTTCCGTGCTGAGGAATCTTGCCGACAATCTAGGGTGACCTAGCCTTGCGTCAGGTCATAAGTCTGTAGGCAAGTGCCCAGATGAAAGGATGCGTCGGAAACCTGGGCGAGATATCTACAAACCACACCCCAACGCTGTGCCTCGGAACTTTGCGATCGGCTTACTCAGCGTAATCTGAAGGCAAATCGTCCCACGATGCGAGCGCTGAGGCCAGCACGGAGCATTGTCAAGACGGAAGACCAATCCCGGGTCCCCCACTCACTCATGCCGATGAACGAGTACCAACCATGTAACTTGAAATGCTCCCCTGGCAAAGCTTATGAAAGCTTCACTTCGAGTTGACATGGAGCAGAAACCCAGAGTCGATACTTGAGCTGCTTCAACTATAGACTTCGCTCATCTTCGCTCTGCAGCAGGTGGTCTCCGCCATCTTGGCGGAGGCCTCGATGGGCAGTGCGGAGCCTCTCCGCTACCAGGAGCGATTACCTGAGGCGGTGATGGCAACAAACTCGAGCGTTTGCTTGGTGTGTGCGATGGTGTGCTTGCTGCTATTACACCCACATGTGGAAGTCGGCCCTTGTTTTTGTGAGTGTCTGCAGTCATTGGGGGCAAGCTTGCCAGGAAGTCGGGCCTTGTTGCGGTAGCATGGGGATTCAGCACATGTTTTGAAACATAGTCGTCATCTACAAGTGGTCGCTTTATCTCGCATCGCTGGGTTGAAATACGCATCAGTGAGCAACCACACTCGGGAAACCGCTTTCAAACAATCACTACTATTTGTGAACGATCGGATGGTTCCACGTGGAGTCGAGCGTCTAGATGGGGA